AAACTGTCTTGGCCGGGGATAACCACGAGGATCGTGGAAGGGGGGGTATGCTTTATTATCTGGGGTATGCGGCTGTCTGCGCATCTGACCACCAGAGACACACATTGCATCAATTCCTAGCCAGTGCATCTGAACATTCCAATATTGATAAACCTCAACGTTTGTCCGCCTCTCCGGTCTCTCCGGTCTTTCGTGAACCCGCCTCTCCGGTCTCAAGAGCGTCCAGGGCGGCCCAAGAGGTCCCGAAGATCGCCCTGGACGGCCAGCGAGGCCCCCAAGCGGGCCCACAAGGCCCCCAAGACGGCCCACGAGGAGCCCACGAAGGCAGAACACCAACTGACATCTCGCGCCCTTCACTTGAAGATGGCCACCGATGCCGCCTGCGGGCCCTCAAGAGTTCCAGAGGCCCCCAGGGGAGCCTCCAAGAGACGCCCAAGAGGTCCCCAAGAGACCTCCAAAAATGGGGAGACGAACATGTACCGATATCGCTACTCGCTACTCCCCGAAACGCACAGAACATCCAAGGGTTCCCTCCCCAGGATGAACAAGAGCACCTAACAAGCACGAAACACAATGGGCTACCCTCCCCGATACGACCTCGACCTGATACCTGAATCCGACCGTCCTCGTCCTCCTCTGATCAGGAACCTTCCGAACAGGCCCCCCCAGTGGCCCCTAAGACCGTTCCGACGGGGATGCCCGCGGAGCACGCCGCAGGCACACGCGCATGTCGCGAGGGCGGCGTCCTGCGGGAGCTGCGGGCGCGCGGCGGCGGGCGGCAGGACTCGGAGGCGTGGGGCGAGCGCCGGCTGCCCGGCTGGAAGTGCGGGCGGCGGGTGGGAGGAGGCGCTGTCTCGGGGGACGGGCGGAGGCGAGGCGCTCTTCTCGGGGGGGAACGGAATCGAGGCGAGGAGGCGACAGGCGCTTTCTCGCGCGGAGGCGAGGCATTCTCTCGAGGGGAGCCCATATCGCGAGGAGGCACGAGGCGCTCTCTCGGGGGACGAGCAGAGTAGGGAAACCATTTTTTGAGCCAGCGGGCGCAATCGAGTCGAGGCTGGTGCAGGCGCCGGTCGGGCTACGGGCAGGACGCGCCAGGAACAAACTGAGGCACAGAAGCGGAGGAGGACGCGGGGAGAGCAAAAGGGAAAAAACAATGGCACAAACATAGAAGCTCGGAGGTCCGCGCTGACTCCTGGGATCGGCGCTTGGGGCCCCTGGCGGCGCCTCCAGCGTCGCCCCTGGCGCGCTCCGCGCGCCAGGGGGGGCGTCTAGCGCCGATCCGAAAACTCCGCACGGACCTCCGATTATAATATATATATATATATATATATATATATATATAATATATATAGATGTATGTAGGTATGGATATGTATGTATATGTATGTATATGTATGTCTTGCTTGTTCCCGATACAGGGAGCAGCTTGGCGGGCCAGTCCTTGGGTGTGCCAAAGATAGGGGGGGGTGTGGCCCTGGAGCACGTGCGCGGACGAGGGGGGAGGAGGGCCAGGGGACGTGTTCCAGGAAGAAGAAGGGGTGCCGTTGCCTCTGGTAGATCTCCTGGCCACGGCCGTGCTACTTCCACACGCCCCCCGGCCCCCCCCCCTCCTCCCCCCTCCTCCTCCCCTCCTGCTGCTCCTCCTCCTCCTCCTCCTCCTCCTCCTCGTCCTCCTCGTCCCTCCTCTCCTCCTCCTCCTCCTCCTCCTCCTCCTCCTCCTTGTCCTCCCTCCTCCTCCTCCTCCTCCTCCTCCTCCTCCTCCTCCCTCTCCTCCTCCCCTCCCCCTCCTCCCCCCCCTCCTCCACCTCCGCCTCCGCCTGCGCCTCCGCCTGCGCCTCCTCCCCCTCCTCCCCCTCCTCCCCCTTGCACGCCCCCGACAGGCTGTCCAGGGCGGGCGGGGTCGGACCCGGGCCCTCGCGGCTGGCCCGCCGGGCGGCAGCCGGGCCCGCCCCCCCACCCCCGGCACGCTGTGGAGCGCCCTGCTCGGCCCCGCCGGGGCGCTCCTCCTTCCGCGCCCTTCGCCGAGCGCTGCACCGTGCCACGGGCCATCCCGAGGCCCGAATGCACGCGGGTGGCCGGCAGAAGCGCTGGCCGCATCTGGGGAAGGAGGGGCGTCACGGAGGCGGGCTGCAAGCAGCCAGGCTCCCAAAGAGCCGGTGCAACGGAAAAGGCCCGTCGGCCCGCGAACGCACGTGTCGGGTCAGTCTATGCGCCACGAGAAAAGCAGCGCCCACTTCCTGCCATCCCAGAGAAGTACCAACTTGCTATCGTCCCCAGGATGGCCCAAGAGGGCCCAAGGAAACTGAGGCACAAGCGGGCCTAAAAGGACCCAACCTAGCCCCATGACGCCGCGGCCTACTGTACTTACCCTACTGACGCTCGGCATTCCACCGCGCTGCCGCTTCCAGGAGACAGGGAGCGGCGGTGCCTGGCCAGAGGCGCCTTCGATAAGAACGTCACCATCTGGGCGCAACAGACACGTGCAAGGTAGTGGCGCGTCTGCCGCAAACGAGGCTTGGCCCATCGAGCACGGCCCGCTGACCCGGAGCGGGCCTCTTGGCCTCCTGACCAAAAGTACCCAGAGGTCTCCACGGAGGCCTCTAAGGTGCACCCCGGCGTGCGAGATCCTCCGCTGGGGAGCGTTCCTGGGAGTCTCGCCCGCCACCGCGCTCCTCCAATCCTCGAATCCTCGAGCCCTGACGCTCGACCAACAAAAAAACCAGGAGCAAATAACAACATAAACATGAAAATCCCAAAAACCCTCTGGGCGTGAGTGGTTTAGCGAGCCCACTCTGTCCCACCCCCGTCTTCCCCTTCGGGGAGGGGCAGCGACTGCGGCGGCAGCGGCTGCGGCGGCGGCGATTTGGCAGCGGGGGCGGCGGCGGCGGATTCGCCCCCAGTAGTTGCCCATCCATAGACGGCTGCTGCATATGCTACGGCTCGGGTGTGGCTCGGGTGCTACGTATGGGGCGGGGAGGGAGGGTGGGAGTGAACGATACGGCTTGCGGGCGGGGAGGGCGTCTTGACCCCTCCCTCTACCCCTTCCCCCTGGGCCTGGATGGGGGGGGGGGCGTGGGTCGTTAGAGCGTCCAAGATGGCCCATGGTGGCTCCAAGAAGGCCTCACGGAGCCAAAGATGACCTCCAAGATGGCTGACAATAGCCCAAGATGGCTCCAGGTGGCGCCCGACATTCTTCAAGACGCCCCAAGTCCGCTCCAAGACTGTTCCAAGCGGCAACGGAGCCTCGCAAGGACGCCCCCGAGAGGCCAACATCCTTCAAAAACCTGAGGGCAATCAATGCGGCTTGCCTTCTTGCCTTTTCGCTTTCAATGAGCTCGTGAGGCTTCAAGATGGCCCCAAGAAAGCCCAAGAGAACCCCAAGACATGCCCCAGAGCGGCCCAAAACGGGCCCAAAAGCACCCAAGAGCGCCCCAAGAGCGGCCCAAGAGGGCTCCAAGAGGCATCTTTTGGGTTTCGAAGGGGGGCCCTCATTGACGCCGCGCCGTGGCCTCCAAGATGATCCCCAGAAGCCTCCCAAACACCCCCAGAGAGCCCCAACAGGGCCCCAAGATCTCCCACAAGAGCTCCAAGGGTGCCCCAAGAGGCACCACGAGGACCCCAAAAGAGCCCAGGGAGCAGGTGGGACGCAGGAGGAACAGGAGGGTATATGTGAGGGCAGGAGAAGGTACGCCCGAAATCAACAACAGTCAGTATGCTTCGCAACATGTGTTGCTTTGGGATCGGTTGGTGGGGACCTGTTGTTCGCGAGCGCATGCGGAAGGGCCGCGCGCCGTCCAGAGCTACAGCTAACACGCCGGAGCCTAAATTGCACCGGTGGAAAGAAAAGGGAGACAACAAGAGAGAAGAGGATAATAGGGATAACAAGAAAAGAGCGGGAGGTGAGACAAGCCGGGGCGGGCCGCGCGGCGCTCACGGGCCGCACGGCGCTCAAGGAGGGGGTGCCGTCGGCAGCAAGTAGCCGTCGGAGGTAAACGCCAAAGTGTCGGATAAGTGGCTGGTAGTGAGGTGTCCCGTGACTGCGGCGTGGGGCAACCCCGCGGGAGATAGCGGAAGCCGCAAGCGCTTGCGTCTGTACGAGGGGCAGCACGCGGGGGGCTGAGCGCGGCAAGGGCTATGCACCCCTGCAAAGGGGGCAAGCTTTCAGGTGCGTCGAAGCCAACGTGGGTGGCGGCGGAACGAGTGAGTGGCGACGACCGAACAGCTGGTGGGGATACTTTGTTGTAGCCAGCCGCAGGCGAGCGCGCAGACGGCGTGTAAGGTCCGAGCGGGCCGCGCGGAGGCCTAAACTACCTAGCACGAGCAGGCCTACCGCCGAGCCTCAGCCCAGGACCAGGAAGCTGGTGGGGATACGCGAAGAGTGAAGAACTCTGAGGACTCCTTGGATCTGACCTGGACACACCTCCCTGGCGCGGCGCCAGAGGCGCCGCCATGGGGGTTCCAGTGCGGATCCAAGAAATCCGCGCGGAGCTCCAGAAGCTTATGCTGATGCTTTTTTTTGTTTCTCGACCGACACCCTCGAATCCTCAGATCCCCGGCGGGCGGCGACGCCCCAAAAGGCGCTCCTCGACCAGAAGGCCCTCAACCCCGACCAAAATCCTTCGACCAAAGAACCTCGACCCTCGCCCAAAAACCTCGACCCTCGACCAAAAACCTCGACCTTCGACCGAAAATCTCGACCCTCAAATTCTCGAGCCTCGACCCTCGCCCAGAGCCCTCGAATCCTCGGATCCACGTCACCAGAAGGCAGAAGCGTGCGGTGCCCGAGCACACTGCGAGGACGTCCAGGGCGAGTGAGCCCCAGCCTCGAGCAGACTGCACCGACGTCTGGGGCGAGACCGCGACCCCTGGCAGACACATGACAAGGTGTCGATCGAGAGCCGCTGCTGCTGTGGCCCGAGGCCCGAGCAGCCCAGCCGGAGCAGCGAGACCTTCCCCGACAAGCAAAAAGAGGTGCGAGCGACGCCCCAGAAAGGCGACGCCCCAGGAAGGCGTTCCTCGGAGCCCGCCCGCGACCGCGTGTGCGGGTGGTCGCGCAGGTACTCCGCGCGGGCCCAGCGGCCGTCCGCCGCCGGCCAGCCCCAGAGGCCCGCGCAGCCCGCCTGCAGGCGCCGCGAGGGGCGGCCCAGACGTGCGGAGGGCGACGACGACGACGACGACGACGACGACGACGACGACGACGACGACGACTGCGAAAACGACGACGACGACGACGACGACGACGACGACGACGGCGAGGACGAGGACGAGGACGAGGACGAGGACGACGGCGACGACAAGGGCGATGACGAGGACGAGGACGAGGACGAGGACGAGGACGACGAGGACGGGGACGGGGACGGGGACGGGGACGGGGACGGGGACGGGGACGGGGACGGGAACGGGGACGGGGACGGGGACGACGACGACGACGACGACGACGACGACGACGGCGACGACGACGGGGACGACGGGGACGACGGGAACGACGACGGGGACGGCGACGACGACGAGGACGAGGACGACGACGACGACGACGACGACAACGACGAGGACGACGACGACGTCGACGACGAGGTCGACGACGAGGTCGACGACGACGTCGACGACGAAGACGCCTGAAGGCGCCACGGGGGAGGGGATCTCAAGCTATGATTGCGCCATTTGTCCGCCTGGCTCCAGGACGTGTCTTGCGACTTCTAGATTCGAGCCTCGGTGGTCATGCAAATCATGTGCAATCACGAGCTGCAGTGGCAACGATGCTCAGCACAATTTCATTTTTATCACACTTGGGCCAAGACGTAAGGATGGGGGGCAACGAACGGCGACGACGACAACGACGACAACAAGTACGACAGGCACAACGTCTGTGTTGTTCCGCGCCTGTGCCCTTTGAGGAGCAGCGGCAGCAATGCCTTCCGCCGCCCGCGCTGGGAGGCGGAATGCAAGCTGCTTCTTCCACAAACGTCAGGCATTCCACTTCTGCTTTGCAGTCCATTCTCCGGGTGCACGCAATCCCTCTGCAATGCCTCGCCTGCTATGTTTTCCTACAGCGTTGCCAACCGTGCAATCTGCTGCCAACGCATCCCTCAGGACGCTCGGCTCAGTGATGGTGGTGGTGCCACACCCCCCCTCTCCTGGGCCCCTGAACAAAAATCTAAGGGCCTCCAGGGCCCCCCGAAAGGGAAGCCCCTGGGGAGGATATGTTTTTTCCAGTGCGCGCCCACTGCTGGCGCCTGAGGTGCGGCTGCGTCGTCGGCCGCCCGTCCCTGAAAGGAGGACGTGTCGAGACCTACGACTGGTCTTAAGTCGGGCCTGTCCCCCTACAGGGTTTTTTTGGGGCGAAATTTTTCTTGTAGAAAAAATTAAACATGTACTCTCAAAATTGGAAAACATACTACAACAATCGTCTTCAGCTAATATTTTGACTATCTTTGAATATCCCTCCTGTAGAGGGACAGGCCCGACTTAAGACTGGCCCCGTCAGACCAAAGGGGTTGACCCAGAAGAGAGCGCGCAGCCCACTTCCAGCCGCCAGTGGTGGCGGCGGCCAGAATGGAAGGGGCGGCAGTGGAAAAGGACGGAGGAATGGGGCGCGTAAGGACGTCACACGGACTCGGACACTTTTCTCCGAGCGCCACGCCAGAGCCCCTACAACACCCGAAAGATCAATGACGGCTTCTGCGCCCAACCCCTTTTTCGCATCAGCGGGCGCGCGGCCCAAACGACGCCCCTCCCGACCCCCCTTTTGAGAATTCTGAACGGATTTCCGCCTGCAGGGGGGGCCCTGGTGTGATCCAGTCCTTGAATACGAACAAAGCAAATGGAGCCTGGATTGGGCGATTCGACCTGGGACTTCCTCAACATCTGCCTGGTGTGGTCCCTGGTGTGGCTTGGCTCGGCCGCGCGCACCGCCTAAGACGTCCTCAACATCTGCCTGGTTTGGCGCCTGGTTTGGCATGGTTTTGGCCCGGTCTCGCCTGAGATGTCCTCAACATGTTCTTGGTTTGGTTTGAGTTGGCTTGGTTTGGGCCCAGTTTCGTATGAGACGTTCTCAAAATTTGTTTGGTTGGGCCCTGGCTTGGCCTGGTTTGGGTACGGTTCCACTTGAGACGTCCTCGCAGTTTGCCTGGTGGCCCTTGTATGGAATGGTTTCGGGCCCGTTCCGCTTCAGAAGTCTTCACAACTGGCGGTGGAGATTCGGCAACATCCTCTGCTTTCGGAGCAGCTTGCGAGGATCTCTCACGTGAGGCGCTGGTTTCTGCACTCACGAAGGCAGGATTCGCGCCCTGGAGATGTCTTAAACAATTCGCACGTTTAGTTTCCCAGGATTTATTTGTTTTGGCGGTCAAACGCTCACCCAAATATTCTTAGCGCTGGATTTGCGTATCCCACGGGGGAGCCGCCAGGGGTCAGGATACTCTGGGATGTACGCCTAATATATATATATATATATATATATATATATATATATATATATATATATATATATATTTGGCATGGGACACGTTTCGGTCTGGCCGCTGGACTCGATTTCGCTCCCACATATTCGAAGCCAGTGTCCCTCAGCGAAACGTAGCAGTAATCGTCGCCAACATGGACCCCAACCAGCAGGTCCTTGCAATCTTCGCTGTGCAATCTATGTGGTGCAACGCATGCGATGCACCCTACGTGACGCAATACATGCGGTGCAGTCGATGACGAACTCGCACACCCCATGCTCTTGCAAACATCCCACCCGCGGTTGCGACTGCGATGGGCGCTTGGCGTTGGCTGGTGCATCCACGCGGCCGCGCCAACCCAAGCACGCGCGCGCAGCGGCCAGCTAGTTTGGCGCGACCGACGCGGCCGCGGTGACGCTTACCGCTGGGCACATCCCAACGAGCACTTCAGTGCGAATTGCGTCTTGGGCGGGAGCGGTATCATGTCAACGTCGACAACGGTAGACACGATGAATATAGTAGCGACGCTAGTGGCGATGTTATCACCGACGACGGCGCGGCCAATGCGGGCGCCGATGCTGATCACGCTGACGACGATGACGGCGTCCTCGCGTCGGTGGTGAAAGTTTTGGAAAGAGTTCGACATGCGCGCGCGGCCGACGCGCGAAAGTGGTCCGCATATTACTTGACACGGATCGTGCCCCCCAGCAAACGCGCGCAGGTGTGTGCGAACGAAGCCGGCATGCGGCACCAGAGGCCCGCTTGGCAGAATTGCGTGGACATGTTGAATAACCGGTGGTTTTCTTGAGAATGAAACTGGTGGAAACCTATGGCTTTCGTAAGCATTCGCAGAATCGCCCGCGCAAGTTTTTGTTTGAATGTCCGCGTTGCAAAACCCAAAGTGCTTGCATTTGTTCTTTGGACACTCGATTCTACAACCCCTACGATGTTTGAAGGATTTCGGCATGCGCACGACAACACACGCGTGTGCACTTCGTTTCTTGGTTTGCAAAGGATTATTGAAAACTGTTCGATAAACGTGTGCGTGCGCATAGCTTTTGTTGCAAAGGATGGGGGAGGGGGGGGGGCGATACAGATCCCCTGGGATGGTGAGAGCTCATACTTCGGGTGGACGAAAGGGCACAACCATGTGCACATTGCAATACGAAAAGGAGAACGGATACTCCTGGGGGTCAGAAAGGAGAATCTATGCGATGATGCAACCTCTGAGATGCAGCCGTCTACGCGGTGCACTATATGTGGTGCAATGTATGCGATGCAACCTATGTAATGCAGTCTACGCGGTGCAATAGATGTGGCGCGATGTATGCGATGCAACCTACGGAATGCACTCTATGCGGTGCAAGGTCTGGGAAGCGGCGACGGCAACGGGCGGCACGGGCGGCGACGGGCGGCCACGGCCTCAGCAAACCCACGCACATAAGCCTGCAGCGCACTTTGGTGACTGCCATCATCTCGAGCTGAAGAATACATCACCCCGAATGGAGTGAGTGCATTCTGGTGACCTGTTATGTGGAGATTGCTATAATTTTCGGTGTGCGCCTCTTCGATGAGAGCCTCGATAATGTACAATAGTAAACTGCTCCCCCCCCCCCGCAAACCCACCTCCGCCGAGATAACGAATGGCGTGCGCTGCATGCCGAACTCCAGGAACTCGACCCTGGAAGGGGGCTCCTTGCTCCCGGCTTGCGTCGAGGAGTAGCAGGCAGGGAGCGGTCTTCGACACAGGCAGGAGAGGGGGAACTGTGGAAGGCCCTGCGATGTATTCAACACCCCACGGTGTCATGAAGTCCACATTCGCAGGGTGACGAGAGAGTTGCAGGGAACCACGTATACGAGACCATCAGTTCAGTTCCGCTTGAGGAGCCAACCACGAGCCGAAAACGCAACTACTATGCTGCAGCTAAGTCTCAAGTTGTGAATGCGGGCGAGTACAAGAGGAAGAGGACCTCCTACGAGCAACCAGCAACCAAGCTCTCAACTGACAAATTGCGTGGGGGTACCTGGCCCCACTCACGAGTCTGGCCCCGCTCGTATACCAGCCCCTGGATCTATGGTTTCGCCCTGCGGCGCTGCGCTGTACGCTTGGAGGGGGTGTGTCGATCTCTATCCCAGGCGTCGTGGGGCTTTCGAATGGAACCGACATTTTCAGCCCAACCCTGGGATATACGACGAGCGGGCGTCCATCCTCGACAGGGGTGCGTCCGAAGAGACCCCTTGGAGGTGTATCCCAGCGTGTCCCCCTTTTTTTTCTGAGCGGCCAAACTTTTCGGGCGGAACTCGGGGATTGGGGAAGAGGAAACGCCTGCGACTAGCAGAACAAACAGCGGCATATGCGCCATAAACATTAACGTTTGGAGGTTCGCGCGGATTTCTTGGATCCGCGCTGGACCTCCCTCCCTGGCGCGCGGGGCGCAACCACTGGGGCGGTCGGTGGAGCACCCTATGGAGCGACGAAGCGTGTGAGGGGTGTGCCGACATGGGTGGCGGGACGCATGTGGTCACAACCACTGGGGCCTTAGATGGAGCTCCCTATGGGACCACGGAACGTGTGAGGGGTATAGCGACATGGGTGGCGGGGACGCATGTGGTCAAAGACACTGGGGCCTTCGGTGGAGCTCCCGATGGGGCCGCGATAACTGTGAATGGTGTGCCGAGGTGGGTGGCGGGGACGCATGTGGTCACAGCCACTGGGGCCGTCGGTGGAGCTCCCTATGGAGCCGCGAAAACTGTGAATGGTGTGCCGAAGTGGGTGGTTGGGACGCATGTGGTCACAGCCACTGGGGCCTTCGGTGGAGCTCCCTATTGGGCCGCAATTCGTGAAAAAGGTGTGCCGACATGTGTGACGGGGACGCATGTGGTCATCACCGCTGGGGCCTTAGATGGAGCTCCCTATGGGGCCACGAAGCGCTGCACTGGGTGCGCTGGAGCGGTGGGAAGGCAAATGACAGGGGCAAGGGTGGGAGGAGGGAGGAGGGGGAGGAAGGAGGAAAGGAGAGGAGCGGAGACGCGGGGCGCTGTACCACCACAAGATATATGTGAACTGGAGAGGAAGGTGGTACACGCACGCACACACACACACACACACACGCACACACACATACACACACACACACACGTTTTTTGTTGCGTCGGCGGCCGGGCAAAAGGTGGCTACTCTGGCGGATTGGCAACAGGGGACACGCTGTATGCAAATTCGAACCACCATGCACGGAGGAGAGGAGGAGCCCCGGCGCGACAAGAAGAGAAGAAGCCGGGCCCACTTAGAGACGCTGACTGCGGCAGGGGAGCGCCGGGGGGTGGAACCAGCGCTGGCACCGAGTTGCACCGAGCTGCACTGAGCTGAAGCTAGGGGAAACGCGGCCCAGCGGACTGAGCGGCAGTTGGGGAGCAACACGAGCGTACCAGATACCGCGAAGCGCGGCCGGGGGGGAGCTGACGCTCCGAGACCCGGGGGCCTACGAGGCACGGCGAAACGAGGACCAGCACGCCCAAAACCAGGGGGGCTTGCGAGGCGCGGGGCGGGCACGCGGGCCGCGACAACCCTGCGGGGCGGGCGCCGGCAGGGGGGCGGAAAGAGGCGGAGGGGCCGCGCCGGAAGGGAGGCGGCGGAGCCGGGGGAGCGGGCGCGAGCACAGACCAGGGCGGGCAGGGTGCCACGGAGGCGGCGACAGCCAGAGCACCAGTGGCCGGCGTCGGGGCGGGCGGCGTGGGAACCAGGCAGAGGGGCGAGACGCTGGCAGCAGCGAGCGCCCGCCCGGCCGGCGGAAGCCCGGCAAGGGCCCACCCGGGGTGCCACGGGCGGAGCCCGAACAACACCTTCGGAAGGCCGAGGAGACCTGGGCCGAAGCGGGGGCCAGAAGCGGCGGCGCAGGGCACCCCGGGCGGGGAGGGGGGGGGCGGCCCAGATTCGGGGAAACGCAAAACCCGAGTAAGCCGGAACTCGGGTCTGCCGACGTTTTTTTGACGAACGCGTCCTGGATTTTGACGGTCCTGTTTTCGTGGGATGACTGGGTAGCGCTGCTAGCCATTGATGTGAAAGCCTCTCGAATGTCTTGCTGTGGTCAGCAGAAGAATGGCCGTGAAGGGGGGGGGGCAGCGTTGCGGGTGACCTGCGCTATGTGCGCTTCTACGACGGCGAGGTGCCTTCCCGCGAGGCGGCCCCGCGCCCCGCCCGGTTTTGTTGGCGCCGGAGCGGGGGCGCGCCCGAGGTGTTCGGTGGTCGCGCGGATGATTGGCCCGCGCTGCCCGCCCTTCTTGGCAGCTTGATCGGAGGAAAGCTGAGATTCGACGATGCGCCCAAAGAAGGACCTTCTTTGGGCCCATACTCGACTTGAAGTCGGCCAGCGACCAACCGAAGAGGCGACGCATGCAGGTGGGAAGCTGCAATGGACGCAAGTCTTGGGGCGTTCAGAATTTGCGACTTTCAGGATCCAGCCTAGCAGGTCGAACAAGGAACCGAGCACGGTAGCAAGCAGAGCGGGGTTCTGGTCGGCAACGCACCACGCGTTGGCGAGGCGGAGGGAGACGAACAGTAGTCCGCAATGGTAGACCTCGCATGGCTCGCCATCAACCCCTGGGGCGCTGCCTGAAAAACGCGGACGTTATTTGATCACCGTACCGAGCCTCGAAATTTCGAAGAGCCCCCTGGCGTCGTCGAATGCCGACCGCGCTGGCGTGGCCCTCTGCGAGCCCAACGAACGCGCGAACGCCAACCATTCGACCCAAATTGGTCGACGAGAGAACTCGACAACAGACTCTGAGGCCGTCGATGAAAACCAGGCGCGGTACGGTGCGAAGTTTTCGCCCTGCAAAAGACACCAAAAAGTATGCGCCGTACCAAGCGGGGCGCCATGTGAGGCGGGGGCTCTCAGGAAAATCCACCTGAAACCTCCGCCGCAGAATCGACAGGGGCCGAGGATTTCCAATGATGCGAATTGAGGCGCATGTCCTGTCCAAATCCTCCTTAATGCTCTTGCGCACATCGGCATCTGCGAAAAATGCCCCAGGGATTCTGCCATGGTACGGTGCCTAAATGTCGTCTGCGGATGAAAGGGCAACAACCAGGGCAGATCGGCCCCCGGCGAATTTGCAATCCGGTAAAACGTGGGCTGCTTGAGGGATGGCAGGAGCCGGCTGCCAGATGTCAGCGCGACTGTCGCAGAGGATTTGATTGGCGTCTTCTGGCCGGTCCTTCCATGCCCCGTCGTCACCTCTGCCCCTGCTGCGCGCGTGAGCCTTCTAGAAGATTTCTGTACCCATCCGGTAATGAAGGGCCCCCAGGACACACAAATACATACACACAAATAAAAGTATTCCCCAGACTTTCCTATATGTTCTAGGTTTCTGTCTTCCCCCCCACTTCCCATATGTTCTCATATTTTCTGGGGAATCGAGGATTCATTGTGTCTGTGTGTGTTTTTTCCTCTCCTGAGGTAGTGCGGGGCCAGGGGTGCACGCTCTGCCCCGGGGGCCCCGCTGCCGCGGGGTAGGGCGCGCGACCGCTTTCTGGGCCTGGTCGGCCCTCCAGCGAGTCCGCCAGAACGCCGCCCCGTCTGGCGAGGGGCCGCCGCCGTCCCGTCCGTGGGGGACCATCCACCCGGCCAGGGGGTCACTCGGGCGAAGGGCGCGGGTGCTGGACGCAGCCTTCCCAAGCACGCGACCACTGCGTTGGGCGCGCGCGCGTCGGCCCCACCTCCTCCACCAGGAATGGATCATGGCGGATAGCGCGTGCCGCCAAAAAAAGACCATGCGAGGGAAAAAGGGGGGAGGCGGCGCCGCTCTGGGTTCGACTAGGATAGCTGGAGGAGGTGGCCCTTCCTGCGTTTCGGTAGCGACCCCCGCAGCGGGATGACCGGCCGGGAGTGGCATGGGGGCGCCGCTTGTGGCCAGCCAGAGGGCTGGACGAGGCCGGCCCGATCCACGCAGGGGACTTGACAGGTTCTTTCCAAGAGTGCATAGTGCCAGCAGAGTTGAGCGATGGCGCCTTCCGGTAGGGCTTCCAAGGTCCCCGGATTCATGGCGTTGCGTCGCTAGGTGCTAGGTTGGCTAGTGGGGCCAACGTAGATCAAGGCGTGGTCGGACAAGTAGGTGTTCCAGGCATTCCGGATCTGATAGAATCCCGCCGTGGCCGCACTGCAGACGATGGTATCTATTTGGGACTCGCCACCTCTACCTATCCTGGCGGGGCCCTCCAAAGCGATGGGGTGATCCCCACGCTGGGTGAGGGGCGCCATCCACGCGCCTACGGTTTCGACCTCCCCATCGCTGGGGTTGCACCACTGCAGATTGACGCCCCCTCCCCAGTGCGTTGGGATGCCGCCGCTTTGGGGGATGGCCTCGATGATCGATCTCTTCTTGTAGGCCAGGCGGGAGGTATACAGCGATAAAGCGGGAGGTCTGATCATCTGTCCTCGCAGTGACGGCGACGGCTCTTCCAGGGTCAACTTCCACTGAGGTGGGGAGTTCGAAATCCTGGGAAAGGGGCACGGCAACTCCCCCGGCGTATCCTCCCGCTCTGCCGGGGTAGGCCAGGGAAGAGACTAGGTGTCTGGCGCGGAACATGGTGGCCCATGCGTTGCACTCGTGTGGAGACCAGTGCGTCTCTTGCAGAAAGGCCACCTTTCCTGCCCTGGTGATCTGCGTGATGACCGCCAGTTTGGTCAGATTTTTTTGCGTGGGAATATTTCGCAGCTGCCGGACGCTCCATGAGAATAGTTTGGGAGGTTTGGCGCGGCGGTGCCTGGTGAGGGGAGCTGCGAGCTGCCCTGCGCTCGCGCCATTGCAAAGTGCCCCCCAGGTGGCGCGGGGGGGCATGGAGGAATCTTCACACATACATGCAAACACACGGCTTCTTCAACTCCACCCGTCAGGCCCCCTGCATGCGCCGCCCCCGAGACTCTGTCAGGGGAGAACATGGATGGGGGGTTCGCAACTCATGTCCAGAGGCGCGTGCGGACGAGCGCTGCTTGCTCGGCGCGGCTGCTGGCACGGCCGCTGGCATGCACGGCGCCGCATGCGGGCGGCCCCCGGCTCGCGAACTAGCTGCCCTTCGCGCCGCCGCGCGGCACGCGGCCTGCCAAGGCGGTTTCCGCGCCGCCGCGAAAGTGGCATTCGGCATTCGGCGTTCTGTCCCAGCTGGCGCCTCGCCCCGGCAGCCGTGGCGGTCATCGCGCCTTTGTGGCAGTTGGCGAAGGCGCAGCGGCGCGGGCGGTTCCCGCTCGGGCTCTGGAGGGCCGCGCAGGGTGCCATCGCCGCCGGGCACGGCCACGGCCAGGGCCCTCTCCCGGCCGCTTTGCGCAGCACGGCGGAGCTTCAGCTTGGGCCCGACGTGGAATCCTGGGGCGGCGTGCCGTCGGCGCCGGCAGGTTGGAGACCTGCTGAGCGCCCGCTGCAAGCCACGCGGGCAGTGCTGCTCGAAGCCTGGGGGCGCACCGAGGATCGCACGGTCGCCGCTGGGCGCGCCGACTTCGCGCACGTCGGCGAGGGCATCGACCGATGGGCCACGCGGCGCTTGCTGCCATGGAGAGCGACCGGCTCGCCCTGGATGCAGCCGGCGCGCTCCGGGCGGTGCTGGCCGGCAACGTGGTCACGGAGTCGGTGGCGGCCAAATGGGGGAAGCCTGCGCGATGCCCGAACTGTGGAGCTGATCGGGAGGACCGTCAGCACCGATTCTGGGAGTGCCCCCGCTGGTCGGCCACGCGGCAGGCAACGCTCGCCGCCGCTGGGTACTCGGCCCTTGCCCTCCTGGCCCACCTGCCACACGGCGTCGCGAACTCCGGAGTCCTCCAGCAGGACCCACTGCTAGCTGCGGTCGCCGCCGCCGCCAGCGCGTCGTTGCCTGCCCCCGCGCTGCCTGCGCCCGCGATGCCCCAGAGCCCGCCGCAGCGTTGCCGGGGCGGGCTGTTCGGCTGGCCGCGCTCACGGCGCTGCAGACCATGTTGGCTGCGGTCGAGCTCGAGGCCCTGAAAGCCAACCATAGGAGCCACGGGCCAGGCGGCCCCCGCGTCCGTAGGCGGTGGGCAGCGCCCGGGCCCAGACGACGGCACCACCCCCGGGAGGCGGACGTCGCGGTCGTGGCCGCTGCCGTGGCCCCTTCCCGCGGCTGACGGCCATGCGCCGCGCCGCGTGGCGAGCGGCGCGCACCGGCCAGGCGCGGCACCAGCGGCGCGAGCGGTTTTTGCCGGTGGCGGCTGGCGCTCCCACGCGACCTCACGAGGCCCAGGCTGGGTGGCGTGCCTGCGCTGTGGCTGCTGGGCGCCGCGGTGGGAGCGCCTTGCGAGCCGGCCCTGCGGCGGGCGTGTCCCAGTTCTGCCGCCAAAGGCGGCTGGACTGCTGCTGCTCCCAGCGGTGCGGGCGGGGGGGCCCGACGCTGAGTGGCGCGCGGCCTTGCAGGCGTGCCTGGCAAAGCGCCCCTGCGCACCTGACTAATTAGGTGCTGGGCTGCGCGCGCCCTCGCTGCGCGCGGCCGCTGGCCGCTTGGCGCGTCGGCGCCCGTGTCCCGTTTCGGGGGAGATCTCGACACCCCGGCCATGATACCCATCATCCCAATTCCCACCACCCTTCTCTTTTTCGGGTCGATACTCGGGCCTCTGGCGGCCACTCGGGACGATCTGGGCACGCCCAGAAAACTCCCGACGAGGCGCAGCTGCCGAAGGCACCCCGATACGCGAAAACCTGGAAAACCCAGCGCAGAACCTATCCCCCCCTCCCCTCTTGGGCACCCCCGACTCTCTGAGGAGGAGAGCCCCTGGGGGGACCAAAAGGTACCGATACCGCTACTCCCTGGACCTTTCCTGGGGTGCGTTACGACTAGTATCTTGACGCGAATCTAGCCACCACGACGAGGGCCTTCAAGGAGGCCTAAGACGCCAAAAACGAAAGCGGGGTAGGGTATTGATACCTTTTCCTCCTCTGAGACCCCGCCCCTGGGCCGCGGCGCTCGACGCTCCTTCAGCCGCACCACAGGGGTCCACTCGCCCGCGCCGCCGGCCGCCAGCGGGCACGCGCTCCGCGGGCAGCCGTTGGGGCACTGGCCCTTGAGCGAGGGGCCAGTGGCTCACCCTCAATCCTCCTCCTCCGCCTCCTCCTCCTCCTCCTCCTCCTCCCTCTCCTCTTCCTCCTCCTCCTCCCGTCTCCTCCCTCCTCCTCTCTCTCTCCCTCCTCCTCCTCCTCCTCCTCCTCCTCCTCTCCTCCCTCCTCCTCCTCCCCCTCCTCCTCCTCCTCCTCCTCCTCCTCCTCCTCTCCTGTTCCCCCTCCTCCCTCGTTTTCCTCGTTCTCCTCGTTGTCCTAATTCTCCTCGTGCTCTGCGTGCTCTTCGTTCTCCTCCTCCTCCTCCTCCTCGTCCTCCTCCTCCTCCTCTTCCTCCTCCTCCTCCTCCTCCTCCTCCTCCTCCTCCTTCCCCTTCCTCCTCCCTCGTTTTCCTCGTTCTCCTCGTTGTCCTAATTCTCCTCGTGCTCTGCGTGCTCCTCGTTCTCCTCCTCCTCCTCCTCGTCCTCCTCCTCCTCCTCTTCCTCCTTGTCCTCCTCCTCCTCCTCCTTCTCCAACTCCTGCGCCTCCTCCTCCTCCTCCTCCTCCTTCCAGCTTCTCCCGTCCCCTCCTCCTGCTCCTGCCCCTCCTCCCTCCCCCCCCCATCATCCTGCTGTCGCTGCCGCTGTGCTTTGCTTCCTGCTGCGGAAGCGGCTGCGGCTGCCTCGGGCGCACCTGGGGAAAGGACCACGGATGATCGCGTACATTCACACCCACACCAGTGCGCGAAGGGCACACCTGCGATCGACCAGATGCTGCTATTGCGGCCGCCTTTACGGCTGTTGGCGATGCGGGTGCTGAGGGCGCCGTTGGGCGGCGTTGCTGCAAATAAGGGCGCTACTGTTCGCGCTGCTGCTGCTGCGGCAACGCACAGCATAACAATACCGTCAGACAGTGCTCTCTCACACAGAGGAGCCAATTGCAAGGCCGATCCATATCCCCTCCGTCCATCCTGCCTGCCACATTCAATCATGTTGTTCCTTCTCCTCCATCTCCTTTACTGCTTCACCTCTTCATCCTCTTCCTCCTTCTCCGCCTCCTCCTCCTCCACATCCTTATCGCCATCGCTCTTATGCTGCAGTGGGGAAACGGCACCCCTGCTCGTGGTGCTTCCTCCTCAGTATCATGTTTCTCATGCTCCTCCTGCTGCGTCCGCTTCTCATCCTCCGTGTCCCCCTCCTGCCACAGCCTCATCTCCGCCTCCAGCTCTGGTTTTCCCATCCATGACTCCAGCTCGGCCTCGTCCTCTCCGCTCACGCGCCCACTGTCTTTTATTTACTGCCGCCGTTCCTGCCCCGACTACACCTGATCGACGATCTCCCCCTCCTGCTGCTACTCCTCCTCCTGCTCTTCATGCTCCTCTCCCAAACCTCGCCCTCCTGCTGCTCGTCCACCTCATCCCCCTCATACCGTCCTTCCGTTCCTACCCATCGAATTTCTTCGTTTCATCAAACTCCTAGGCTCTCCGTCGTCGCTTCACCCCGTCCTCCTCCTCCTCCTGCTCCGTTTCCTCCTCTTCATCCTCGTTGTCCAACTCCTCCTCATTCACATCGTCCTCCTCGAATTCCCCCCTCCTCCCAATGTTTCTCCTAACCATCACGATCACCAGCATCACGATTAGCAGCATCAGCAGCATTATCATCAGCAACAGCATCATCATCATCATCAACAACAACATCAACACCACCATAATCAGCAGCATCACATGCATCATCCACATCACCGGGATCACCATCATCATCATCATCATCATCAGCATCATCATCCTAATCACCAACCTCACCATCGCAGCAGTAGCAGCAGCAGCAGCAACACCACAATCATCATCTTAACCATCATAGTCATGCAACACATCATCATCATCATCATCATCATCATCATCATCAGCATCATCACCATCATCATCATCACCATCATCATCATCATCGTCATAGTCAACATCCTCAGCATCAGTATTCGCTCCACTGTCACCATCATCGTGCGAAGTATCACCGGAACCAACACCATCGCCATCGTCATTCGCACCAGGATCAGCAACTGATGCATCATACTTCACATCCTTCGAAAAACCACCATCACCAGCATTATCATCGTACGTGTGCAAAAAAACCGTATCCCTCACTTATTTGGGCCACGCCGTGCAGTGGCAAAGCCATCCAGATGACAGGCCCCAAATTCTGTCAGCAGCGAATACAATATTACCGAGCTCTCCGTCAGAGCACGCTTCGAGACAGACAGACCAGCAAGCTGCAACAGTATAAGTGGCGACGAATTGCGGGATGTCGTGAAAACGCATGCAAGGACAACCACCCGAAGACGGAATGATCTGTTCCCGATATATCGAGAGTTCTGAAAGAACACTGTTGCATAAACAGAAGACAAACCTGGCTGGTCCTCCAGACCAGGATTGAGGGCGGCGAAGGGTGGGAGACTTGAGCCATCACCTTATGCTACTGCACTCGTTCACACTGCAGCATAGCTCGGCACTGTACAACAATCCCGCACTTACCCGTGCCAGGCCGCGCAGCGGCGAGGCGTGTTTCGAGACAGACAGACCAGCAAGCTGCAACAGCACAAGTGGAGACGAGTTGCGGGATCGCGTGAAAACGCACACAGGGACAATCTCTGAAACCCACGAACACATATGTTTTACAGTGCGTTAAAACCCTCAGAAATATGACGAGAGTTCGGATGCACATTGCTCGGCTAGGTGGGACAGAAAGGAAGGCGCTAAAAAGTTACAGAGGTGTTCGAGATAGGCCTGAGCCATTCTGGTGCGAAAGAAATCTTCTGCATATTTACCAGCAACCTCAAGGCGTCTACGACTGGTAGCTGAACAGCGCCCCCCAGTGTCCGCGCAACGCTTGAAATAACGCAGCGAATTTCAATGCATGGCCAGGAAGACGGTGTTTTTCCCCCACAGTGTTCCACATTGGCAATCGTGAGCCTCGAGCAAGCGAGCGCCGAATTTCCTGATAAGGCATTTCATGTTTGTTTTCTTAGCCAGGCCCTGGAGGCGCAGGGTTTCGCGAGAATGACGGGGGCGCCCGGGACCGCAAGTTGACATATGATACGAAAAGTAACACGCCATAGTGTTCCCCAAGATTACACGCCCCCTATCACGACCGACGAGATCAGGAAAACCCCACAAGTTAGGACCGCCATCTCGTCATGGCCCAGGCCCGCGGCCGCTGCTCTGACAAGCACGAGGCCAGGTCTGGCATGGCAGGGCTATCGGCCAGGCAGCAAAGGCGCCTCGGCGGAAATCACGAATCAGGCGACGTCCGTTGGCAGGAACGATGTCGTCAGCTGCGCTTCCGCCCTTCACGCCCCAGGCTTCGCTGTCGATCCCGATCCTCGCAGCCGCTTCGCCACTACAGAGCTCTACGAACTTGCGGCCTGCGAGATGGGCGCGAACCGAGGGGGTCGCGGCATGCTTGATCGGAGCAACCACTCGATAATCTGGAGGCTTTGGGCGGCCCGGCCCTGTCTCCTCGCTGACTGGCCGCCCCTGCAGCTGAACGCGCCAGGGGCCTCGCGCCTGCGAGTTGAGCGGTCGTCGCGCCAGCGGCCCATGTCTTTCACCTCCGCCTTGCTGCGAGACCGATATAGGATGTCGCGCGAGGGGCCGCCGCGACGCAGCTGACGTAGATCTGGCTTGATCGCGGAGAGGCCTGCTGTCTTGCTGGCCTTCTTGAAACTCTCGTTGAATGAAGCTCTGGCAGTCGAGGCCGAACTGCGCTGGCCCGGCAACCGCGGCCCGCGCCGAGCCCGGCGTATCCGAGGAGAAGGGGGGCCGACGAGTCCAACAGCAGCGTTTCGTCGCACGGGCCAACTTTGCTTCGCTGCCCTGTCTCGGCTCGACGCAGGCGCACGGCGCGGCGCGCGCTGCCCGGCGCGGGGAGCGGCGCATCTATGATCTGCAGCGACGGGAGCTCCACGGGCCCCGCGCAAGCGGAGAACATCACCGGCGCGGCCAGGCCCATGGCGGGCCGCCCCATGAAGAGCAGCACGGTCGCGGTGAGCGCCGCGAAGATGAGCGGGGGAGGCGGCCGAGTCCTGCGCGGGTCGAGCCTCTCGCAGCCCTGCAGCGCCTTCACGGGGCGCACCAGCGTGTCGGGCCCTTCTGCGAGAAAGAGGGGCGAAGCTTCACCCGCGCGGCACGGAGGCCCGCCGCCTCCCTCATGTCGATGCCCTCGAGCCACTCCTGGTTCAGGTAGTGCACAACGGCGCAGTCGACCGCCTTCGCGGACTCCAGGGAGAGGCCCATCTTGAGCGCCCACCCCTCGAAGTCGATCATCCTCTTCACGCGCACGGCGCGCGCGCGCGCTCTGACGCCGCGCTGGCGCCCAGGGAGGTCTCGGCGGCGGCGCTGACGTCCGCCGAGACTCGCGCCCCGATGGGCCCCGCCAGTGCTCGGCGGAGCTGCGCCCTGGGCTCCTTGCGCGGGGCCCCTCGCGCCAGCCTCTCCATCTCCCGCGCGCTCAACGCGCGAGCCCGTCTGGCGACTGCTGGGCGGCGAGGCCGGGCCACAGCGGCCGCGAGGCCCCTGGGACGCAGGGGGGCCACCGAGCTGACCTGCTGGAGGCGGCATTCAAGGAGGTGGCTGGAATTGACTCGCGCGGCCGCTGACCCCTCGTCGACGGGATTGCGTTCCGAGGGGCCCCATCGGCGATGCGTGCGCGACGAAGCAGAAAGCTCCGCGGCACAGATCCTCCTGCCACAAACCAAACGGGCGAAGTTCTTCATCCTGTCCTTCTCCTGGCCCAAAACGTGCACGAGGTTGTCTCCAATATGTAGGCGGTGAATCCCGAAGGGTCCCGAGGCCATCAGCGCGCGCGTGGCCCGGGGCGCGGCGGCCCTAGCCCCCGGGCCCCCAATCCCCTCGCCGATGACAAACGGCGTCGTGTAGCTGGCTTTCCACGCGGAGCCCTGCAGGGGGCCCTCAGGGATCTCCTTGCAGAAAAACTTTGGCTCGTGCGGGGGCCGGCCCGAAGCGGTCTACAATCG